GAGCCTGGAGCCAGCTTCAGATTCTGTATCTCCCTCTCTGACCCTCCCTTGCTCACGCTGTGTCTCTCTCTCAGAAATAAATAAAAACATTTAAAAAAATAAATCCTGAGCCTTTTCCCTGTTTTGAAATGCCTATGAAACATATATTTTACGAGCTGCCTAATACTCCAGGGGAAGGATGTACAATAATTTAACAATTTCCTTACTGTGTGGCATTTAGATGTTGCCAAATTGTCAGTATAATAGACACTATTCCATCAAAGTTCTTTTTTTTTAACTTTTTAAATTTATTTCTGAGAGACAGCGTCAAGATTTGACAGGGTCAAATCCTTAGGAGAGATTACTGGAAATGGAATTACACTTCATAAAAGACTATGGATATTTTCAAGGCTGTGAATGCCGATGGTTGTGAGAATTCACAATTTCACTAACAGTGTAAAAAAGCACCCACCAAGTATTTAATATTTGGCTTTTGTTAGAAAAAAAAATTTTAAGTTTCTTTTTGAGAGAGAAAGCACAAGCAGGGGAGGGGCAGAGAGAGAATCCCAGGCAGATTCTCTGCACAGAGTCTGACATGAGGCTCAATCTCATGAACTGCAAGGTCATGACCGGAGCCAAAATCAAGAGTCAGATGCTTAAATGACTGAGCCACCCAGTCAGATGCCACCCAGATGCCCCAGAAAATATTTTTAAATTAATGTTTCACATTGAGATTATACGGTCATTTTGTAGAGTCCTTTACCTAAAAAGATGAAACTAGATTATTTTAGGTGGTTGATTTCAGTTTCAAACATTAATTTGTATTCATGTTAGTGATCTAACAGGAAACATGACTTTAAAAATTACAGGGGCGCCTGGGTGACTCAGTTGGTTAACTTAACCATCCCATTTTGGCTCAGGTCATGATTTCACCATTTGTGGTTTCAAACCCAGTGTCAGGCTCTGTGCTGGCAGCTCGGAGCCTGGAGCCTGCTTCAGATTCTGTGTGTTTCTCTCTCACTTCCCCTCCCCCACTCATAGTCTCTCTCTCTCTCTCTCTCTCTCTCTCTGTCTCTCTCTCTCAAAAATAAACATTAAAAATAATAAATTTTTTTAATTGCCATGTCTTTATGACTCAGGCTGCCTACCAGTTAGTTTAATATGCACATATCTGGAATAACTTAAGAAAATGACATAAAATAATTCCCAGAATGTCAGCTATGTTGACGGGCTTCCATGAAAATTCATAAAACTCAGGTCCATGTTGAAAATTGTCAGGCAGACGGGGCACTTGGGTGGCTCAGTTGGTTAAGTGTCCAACCTCAGCTCACGTCATGATCTCACTGTTCTTGCGTTCGAGCCCTTTATCAGGCTTTGTGCTGACAGCTCGGAATCTGGAGCTGCTTCACAGTCTGTGTCTCCCTCTCTCTCTGACCCTCCCCTGTTCACACCGTCTCTCTCTCTCTCTCTCTCAGAAATAAGTAGAACATTAAATAAATAAATAAATAAATAAATAAATAAATAAATAAATAAATAAATAACTGAGTAATGATTACTATTACTGGGACCTAGCGTTTTCCCCGTGGGAGGAAACAGGTACCGTGAAGAGAAGAGAGGCCAGTCCCAGGAGGTTAGATTAGGTTTAGAATATTAACATGAATTCATGATGTACATATACATGTGCATGTGTGTCTATGTCTTAGCTCTGTCCATTAAAATGGCCTTGCTTGGGGCGCCTGGGTGGCTTAGTCGGTTAAGCGTCCGACTTTAGCTTAGGTCATAATCTCGCGGTTCGTGGGTTCAGGCCCCGCGTCGGGCTCTGTGCTGACTGCCGGCTCAGAGCCTGGAGCCTCTTTCAGTCTGTGACTCCCTCTCTCTCTGACCCTCCCCTGCTCACACTGTCTCTCTCTCTCTCTCAGAAATAAATAAAAAAACATTGAAAATAAATAAAACATTAAAAATATAATAATAAAGCAGCCCTACATTGGGCTCCATACTTGGTGTGAAGCCTGCTTATATTAATAATAAATAATAATAAAATGAGCCCGCCAGCAACCATACTGAGGTGCCCAAATCCCACCCCCGCGGACGGGAGGAGGCTCCCTTGGAGGAAGTGCTGACTGAAGCAGGGTCTGCGCTGACCGCGGCAGGGCAGGGTCCGCCGGCACGGTTCCTCCAGATGTTCTCCCGTGGGCTTTGCAGGCCGGCCTCCGGCGGTCGCCCCCACTCGGGACCCTGTCCCCTCCACTAGGAGCAAGGGATTGAGCCCTCTCCCGCTGGAGTCTCCTGTGTTCCGTCCCCTCCGGTGCCTGCGCGCGCCCTCCCCGGTCTCCGACCCGAACACAGACCAGGCACCAGAGGCGCTTCAGTGGCTCTTCTGCCCTCCTGCTTCTGCGGGCGCCCCCGCACTGAGCAGCGGCTCGGCAAGGGCACAGAGCCCCCCAGACTTGGAGCGGGAGATGCCCCCGCCCTCGGGCCCCGCCAGGTGGGAAGGCCGATGGGGTGCGTCCGAGGTCTGGCGGAGGCTTTGAGGACGGAGATGCGCCCGTCATCAGCGGGAACCAGGCCCCCCGGGATGCGCCGGAGACCCCCCCGCTACGCCGTGGTGGCCAGGGGACCCGCGGCGTCCGGCTGGTGCTGGCCCCCCTTCCTCGCAACGGGAACCGGGGCCCCACAGTGCAGCCCGGGGACACCCGCGTGGGCCCCTGTGGGCATCACCCCTGGCGCCTGCGCTCGGCTGCTTCCGGGAGGGAACGGCTGTCCTTCCGTGTTCCCCGCGCCCGGGTCCCTCCCCGCGGTGCCCGCTTCCCTCCCCCCGGAGCCCGCGTCCCTCCCCGCGGAGCCCGCGACCCTCACCGCGGAGCCCGCGTCCCTGCCCCCGGTGCCCGCGTCCCTCCCCCCGGAGCCCGCGTCCCTCCCCGCGGA